TAGTAGCACGGGTTCTGGGTTAACGCTGGGAGAACTGCGGGGAATGCGCTCCAATCCAGTTCTAATGACGCGACCAGCAGTTTTGACAACCCAAGGAACTACAACTAGGCCAAGAGTTAAAATTGGCATGTTGGCGTAGCGATAGTGTAAAGTTAAAGAGATAAGAGTTAAAGAAACGATAGTCCTGCTGATTTCCAATTATCGTTGATCGTGTGACTCTGCGCAAAGGCGGGAGATATCCGGATGGATTGCTGACTGTATCTACTCAGACTGGAGGTTGATGATGAAATGAGCTTCATGGGGTTGATTTTTGCAGCGGCACACATCAAAGGAGTCCTTTGAAGTGGCTTCTACGTCATGGGAATGACGGTGGGGATGACGTCATGAATGTTCCAAGCGTTTTACTTTGAAAAAAAAAAAAAGTTCAAAATGTGCATTTTTTAAATGTACACACGTTTATTTTTAAATTCTAATGGCGACACATTTTGCGCCGATTGTTCTCGGTTTCATACATTAAAGTAAAAAATACATTTAAATTGAAGGAATTTGGAGCGTTTCCATTCACGCTGATGCCATATAATAAAGAAGGTAATAAAAATAATAAATGAATACATAAATACGCATAAATAACAGTAGGTCGGTTTGGGGAAATACCGTAAGAATGCAGCGTTGAGTTCAAAATCCACCAGTCATTATACAGAAGATTATATAGGCTGTAGTTATGTATTCTTTATTGTAAGGAATATTGTATTTAGGCTGTGCGGTTACATCAGCACCATGCATCTGTGTATGATGTGTTTTTATGCTTCAGATAAAAGAGGTGTAAGTTAGTTATAAGACAGTCTAGATGTGATAAACGCATATATGTTTGACACTTACTTGGTGTGACACGCTCCTCGCGTTATTACGGTGTTCGCTGCAGTGAAGGAAGGATGGACAAAGAGTGAAGTATTGCCACTGTAGCCCTACAGTCTAACTTCCTGCCCCTCTGCAGGGGGGGTGGCACCCTTTACGCACGCCTAATAAACATCTGTTTGAAATACATGTGATTGTATAAATGTTGTCTTTTACAACTTAAAACACTGGTAGGAGGAAACTGATAAAAATCTGTTCTGTACATTATGAGTGTTACATTTGTACATATTTTAGTGTACAATGAAAATACGATGTAAAAAAGAGACATCCCAAACAAATAAGATCAGTGAGCAGTTTATTGCAACCTACCATTTGAGAGGAGCAGTGTGTGCCACACAATAATAACAACAATAGTTTGTGTGCTATATGGTAAACTCTATTTGACTGACTTGACACTAATAAGTTAGAAATTGTCACTTTCATTTGGCAGAGAAGTGACCAAGTGATCATTTGGGCTAATAGGATGCATCTACAGTGTCTCAACCAATTTCTATCAAACTCCACAGGTATTGTATTCTATAAAAGTGTAGAATCAAAGCTCATTATAATCTGCCAAGTGTCACTCTATTGCAGTAATCGTGAATATGAATACAGTCTCCCTAATTATTGCAGTGTGAACTGTGAAAAACGGCCCTCAAATCCTCACACCTGCACAGCCCAACTGCATTCATCATGTGGTTTGTTCCCATAATGTCACATTGTGCTAATAAGGTACACTATGGCAACCATGAGCCGTAAGTTCTGAACAGGGAGCCCCAGAAGAGATAGAGCATTAATAAGCAAACATAATTATCATAATCCCAGTCTAATGAGGAACTCCTGTGATTGCTTGACGTGTGTGAAGACTGTAAACAACTAACAAAGCCAGTGGAAGGTCTGGCTCAAATACAGTGCCTATTGTGTGCTCGTATGTGTGGACAGCCGCTGAATCTATAGTGGACGGTATCCCTTTTCTAAAAATCTACAAAGATACAGTTCCCATCGGCTTTCTACATGTCACATCTTTTGTGTCATTTCAGTGGAGACAAATCAATCGTATAGTTTGGGATGAGATACATGCATACATACACACATCTACAGTTACTCTTTCCTTTTATCAATCAAGTAAGGCAGGATCTGATAGATAGAAACAAAACACACACACGTCTGGAAATGTATTGGAGAAAATCCACAGTGCATCCTCCACTGTAGAGATTGTGATATCAGGACAGTCAGTCCTATGTGGTTCATTTTTATTTATTGGTTCCATTTTCTACATTAGCTATCTGAGAAACTTCCTATTATTAACTATTCACTCAGTTTGTTCACTAATGAGATCACGTGCAGCTGTCCCTGGTGTTACTGACCAGCCTCAACCGGACGTGAAAACGGTCATAGATCTGATTGATGTCAACAACTTCAAATAATCTGGTTCTGATCAAATAATTAAAAGGCATGTGAACCCATTGCAGTGAGCTTTGAGTGCAAAATGCATTGAAGATAAATGATGTACTCATTAATTTTAAACTTTATACAGATTTATGTTGAAAGACCTACTTTTGCTAATGTGCAGAAACTCATATACTCTTCACTGCTAGAGCCAAGTAGTCTGACATTAAACAGAGATCCTATTAATGCAGAGCTTCTTTAAGTACATTGAAATTTAACTTAATTTTCTTCTAAAGAAAAGTATAGAATTTGTATCATTAAAATACCGTAAATATGCTGATGCACTTCTAGAGAAGAAACTCATTCTTTCCAAACTTATTAAGGACTGTTGGTGCTTCACAGACGGCCGTGCAGAGTACCTGAAGAATAGCAGCAGCAGCAGCATGTGTTTCTCATGCACATGCTTCTAACAGCCCAGTCAGCTCTTTCGAATACACTTACACAACTCCTCCTTTCAGTGTTTTTCCCATGACAGTCTTCCCCTTTACAAACTTAAATCGACCTTTCAGCCTTTTTTTTTTCTTGTCAGTGTTGTTGACAGAGAGGGATAACAACATCAGACTAACCTTCGTGTCCCGTCAGTGCGCCGGCGCCATCAGGAAGATAACCAACAATCATTTAATGCTATTTCAATTCAATTCAATTGTATTTGTATAGCGCCAATTCATAACAGAAGTTATCTCAGGACACTTTTCAAATAGAGCAGGTCTAGACCGAACTCTTTATAACATTATTTACAGAGACCCAACAGTACCACCATGAGCAAGACCTTGGAGACGGGGGCAAGGAAAAACTGCCTGTTAAAAAGGCAGAAACCTAGGACAGATCCTTCGGCTCTAGGTGGGTGGTCGTCTGCCTCGACCAGTTAGGATGAGAGAGAGAGAGAGAGAGAGAGAGAGAGAGAGAGAGAGAGAGAGAGAGAGAGAGAGAGAGACACAGAGACACACACACACAAACAGGTGCACAGCAACAACAGTAGCAACAACTACATCATAGTAGTGACTGATGATGATGAACATGATGAAGATGACGACAACACCAACGATGGGGGACAATGAGCAGTGATGATAGTAATAATAGTAACTGTAGTAATAATAATATTAATAATAATAATAACAATAATATCAGTGATATTAGCAATGGGAGTCGAGCAGGACCATGGCAGGAGGCTCCACCAGGATCCATGAGAACCTGCGAGACGAGAAAGCACAAGAACTCCGGGGAAGAAGTGGAGTTAGTAACATGCATTAATGGGACATGAATGAGTGCATAAAGAGAGGGAGAGGAAGAGAGGAGCTCAGTGCACCATGGGAAATCCCCGAAAGTCTAGGCCTATAGCAGCAAAACTAAGGGATGGTTCAGGACTCACCTGAGAGAAACTTTAACCAGAGCTGTCTCTGTGCTGTGATGAACTCTAAATCCTGACTGAAAATCCTCAAATAAACTATTTTTGAATATGATATATTTGAAAAACAAATTAATGTCTGCAATTCTAATGGCTCATTTGAGGATAAGTGACTATGCTCATAACTACTTTAGGAGGAGGGTTTTGGTGTTAGTGGCCACTGTGGAGCAGAAAATGTTTCTCTCTGCATGGGTTCAGTGTGTAAATTAGAAAATAGTTTTGCTGTTGTCAATTAACCTCTGAACCTTGACCTCTGTGCTTTTGGTGAGGGTTAGGAATCAGATTAATGCATATTAATACGGTGTAAATCTATAAATATAAATGTTAATGCAGTAGAGGAGAGGAGCTTTGATTATTGGTTGATTTTCAATGATTGTTCCCTTTAATTAAACATTAATCATTAAAAACGATATTATTTTCTTATGGCTTGGGAGCTTTTTAACCACCTTACCTTTCTTTTTATAGCTGTATCCTACGATCACAGAAGTCGACGCCAGCCACCATCTTGGATGCTGTCTGAATGACATCAGAAGGATTTGTATAGTGAATATACAGACAGTTAATAATACAACTGGGAAAACATCAAAGATCACCAACTTACCACAGAGTTTCCATGGCAGCAAATTCCAGAGAAGCTGAAGAAACCACGGCTGTGTTTGTGCTTGCGTGTGTTTAATGAAATATATTATAGATCATAGATGAAAAGGTAAGTTATTAATATTTTACCATCCCCCGGCTCAGAATGACCATCATCAAGGGGATCAATGTGGTTGTTTTAGCTCTCCCTTTTTCATTTCTGTTACGTTTCTGCTTGATTTGATCAGTGATAAACATTGAATTTATGTTTATTTCAGTTACAGACCATCACGTCAGTTCTCTATCTGTATCCTTTCCATGCCTACTAGACTCTTTAATTACAATTTTAACCTTTCCACAAACAATCTTCAAACTTCTATTTTGCTTTAGCACATAAGAGATTTGTTGTCATTTGTTGTGATCATTTATTCTGTGTTAATGTACAATAATAACTGTTTCCAGATGACTGTCCCGCTATGTAGCCTAAGTTACCAACAACGGCGAGAATTAATATTAGCCTTAGTTAGCTAGTTAGCCTGTAAATCCTTGATAGAACCACTTTTTAAAGAAGTCTTCTGACAGAAACACGTTGTACAAAATCTGATGAATGTTGCTCTATCAAAATAAAAGCCCCCCTCCCCTCCCGAATAAATAAATCAAAGAGCACAGACAGACATCAGATATCATTTTCTGTATTCAAATTTTGAACACGTCAGTCTACCCAACATTTAGTGCAAGTTCTGCAAACGTTACATCAACATTCATACAACAGGTCACTGCAAGATTGTCCTGCTGCATATTTAAAATTAAAAAGACGTGGCATTCGTAACAATAATGATGATCATTAATCAACAAGTGGATATTTGACAGAAGTGCTTGGCAATGGATGTTTAAAGCTATATTCCGCTCTGAACGGATCAGCATTATTAGTTCATTTACAGTCAACAACCAGTCAGTGCTGGCTTTACTATGAATTATTATTTGCAGTAATTATGGGTAAGAATTGTCACCATGCTCCCCGGAAGATTTACTGCGAACCAGTTAATCACTGTCCCAGCTGCTACAGAATTACAGAACTTACACATGGAATAATGTGAACTGAGGCAGGTTTTTCATGATAAGCTCTCTTTGCACTGTGTTCACAATATGTGACTTCTGGATTTCAAAATCCTCAAAATAAATTAAATATACAGAGCGCAGTGAAAGTGAAAATCAATGAAAACTAGTCATGAAACAATTAGCCTATTAATAAAATCGTCAAATTGCATTAAGCCTCAAAACTAAGGTCTTTTTTAAGAATTGGCCAGTACAAGGTCAGTCTAATCACTGCAACACAGCTGAGAAAGAAAAACAACGTGGTTTCATTTTCAAGCAGCAAGTTGCAAATCGATTCAAAGGCCACGCCGACCTTGTGTCTGAAAGTCTTTCGGTGTTTGGACTGCGTTAGAAATGGATTCAGATATGAATGTCTGCACTTTCAGTTACTTAAGTGAGAGACTGGCTGACTGCGTCCACATGACGCAAAATAAACTCTACGTTAACTTCAAAGGACCAGTGTGTAGGATTTAGAGGCATCTAGTGGTGACATTGCAGATTGCAACCCACTGAATAGCGCTCGACTTCCAGGCGCGTGGTAGGAAACTATGGTGGCTGTGAAATTTGTGAAAAATGTGAAAGCCCAATCTAGAGTCAGGGTTTGGTTGTTCCGCCAATAGATCCTCCTAAATGTTACACACTGGGCCTTTAACGTTGACACCACAACATCCAGCCCGGATCAGAATCTCATCCAGCAAATCCACGACTGCATCAGATGTTATTGCAAAGGAACCTGTGATGCGACTTGCAAAGCTTTGCTAGTGTCGCAGAGATCAGCAACACGGAATATAGCGGCAACTTTCGTACATGACTGCTGTTGGGTGACGTCACCCAAAGGGAAAGTTTCTACACTGAGAACAAGGAGAAGAGCCGCCTTAAGAAAACTGTTAAAACTACCTGCGTTGAAGAAACAAAGCCACATACTTCCATACATTGTGTTTGACAAGAAACATAAAGAGAAATGATCCAAAACAAGGTGCAGTATATCAACAAAAAGGTAAACTTGGTACTTGGCAATACATTTACATTTTCACCTGTAGAAGGCTGATAGTGACAGTCACACATTTACACACACACACATACATACAGCGTGTGTGTGTGTGTGTGTGAGAGATACCTGTCAGTGAAATCAGGCTACAGACAACATGACATCATTCAACTGCTGCCATACTGGATTCCCTGCGGTGCTGCTCTGCTCCTGAGAATAGAAAAAAACCTTCATGGTCATTTAAGGAGACACACTGTCCCTTCCACCTGACAGACTGTTTCACTCCTGGGAGACAGACTGAATGACAAGAAGTCACCAATAATTCATTCATTTGTGGAATCCACACTGCAAAAAGAAGTTCTGCTTTGCATCATGGCTGCCAGAGTCGACAAATCCTTCTCATTCAAGCTGTTTTGCAGTAGTGAGCATCTCAAGTGGACCTTTTTTCATACTTCCTGTCCCGTTACATGCTGTACATATAACTAAAAATAAATGATCGTGACCCTAGAACCCAGTTATTTTATTCTTCTGGTTTCTGATCTTGTTTAATTGTCTTTATATCTCAGAACAGCACTTGTTCTTTGGGCTTTCTGTGGAGAAGCAATAATGTCACGTATTGACAGAGTTGAAGTTACAGCCGGGAAAAGTAAACCCGCCGTTTTTGCCTGTCAGGGCCATGTATGAATTAACTGGAGACAGCTGTCATTTCACATCGGCTGTGATGGACAGGTCTCTCTTTTACTGAGACATCATCAGGAACCTTTCCTCCAACTGTCTGGATGGATGCATCACTCACTGGGCTGTCACTGGTCTGCTTTTCTGACAGAGAAACCAAAGTGGTTGTTCCAGAAACATTGTCAAATCTCATCTAAAGATCCACAACATGGTCAAAAGTATGTAAGGACATTTTAACGCATTAATGTGCTGCTATAACATCCTCCACTCTTCTGGTTTCAGACTTTCCATCAGGAACCAGGCTTTGGAACCTGGCTGCAGGGATTTGCTCCCATTCAATGAGATGTTGGCTTTCATCCCAAAGGTCTTGGACAGGGTCGGGGTCAGGACTCTGAGCAGCCCAGTCAGGTTCTTCTACACCAAACTTGGAAAACTATTTCTCTCACAGGGGGTGTTGTTAAACCAAGGGGGCAACCTCTGTAGGGGCAACTTTTTAGGTGGGTGCCGTCACAGGCGGCTGTTTTCAGGAACCAGGCTTTATTCAGCTCGCCTCAGCTCCACCCACACTCGTATTAGCAGAGTCAGGACTGCCAGGATGGTGACAGCCAGAGGCGCCCACACTCAGCTTTACAACGGCTCTTCAGAAACCAATGCATTTAAATTACATGCAGTTTATGGTTCAAACAGCAAAGGGACAAACTGGCCCCTGCAGAATTAAGGGGCCAAAATCAAGTCCCAAGTATGTGGACAGGAGTGTCCACAGATGTACTTTTAGTTATCTGAGGAACTTGCTGTAACATTTGCACTTTCTTGGACTTTTGTGGTGCTCATTGCAGCAAAACAGAACCTGAGAAGAATTAGCTGGCTTCAGGCAGCCTTGACATTTTGCAGTTATTGGCTGGTGTTCATTTCAACCCTGTTACATCTGTCCATCGAGTCCAGGATGTGGTTGTATGGTTACTGTCATCTCATGAGATCCATCAGATTCAACAATGTTGATGATAATTACTCCATCTGGTTGTTGTGAGCGCCATTGATACTCTAAGGAGGTACAGCAGCTCTCTGATACTGCTCTCAGCACTATTACTTTGTCAGTTGGCTGCTTATTTTTTGGTGAAAGTATATTTTATTTTGTCCCAAAATCCCTTGGCTGTTGATGGATTTCATTCCATTGAAGTTCCTCTTGATGATTCCTTATCACTCATTTATTCCTTCACCAAAATTGTGTGGCAACAATGAAGTTCATGCCCGCAATCTGTCCATTTACAGTACCTCTCTGCCAATCCCTGCCCCCTCCTCTCTCCAGCTCCATCTTCACTGGAGCTGGGAGACCTTGAGGGACGAGGTGCTGGCAAAGTCCAAGAAGAAGGGTCCTTCCTGTTTGGGCAAGAAGGTGGTGGGGATGACGTTGTAGATGCCTGCCGGGACGTGGTCCACCTCCATGTAGCAGAAGCCACATCTGGAAAAGAGAGAGAGAGAGATGCTCAGGCTCTACAGAAGTTAACACACATCAGTTCAGGAGGGGAGACACTCCGGGTACTTCTAAAATTTTAAATTACACAGTAGAAGAGTTGACAACATGTAAATACAGACACACGTTATCTCCACGTAGTCGACCTATGTGACACCTTCATGCTGATTTGTGTTGGACTTTCTGTGGAAGTGGTCACAATGAGTTCTTGTCTTCTTGACTCGGTCAGGAACTGTTGCTGATGTATCTCAGAAGTCCATCGACACACTGTGCGCGCAAATCGTTGATGAAGTAGCTCTCACATTACAGATAAACACATGACTAATATTGTCTAAAATATGCCGGTCATCTTTCAGAGCACGACTTTTTAACAGGACGTGACACTTATTTTTGTTTGTTTACTTCCAATATGTACATCAAGTCTCTGTTTGTTTTTATTATAGTTATATAGTAATGAATAGTGTGATAATAAACACAATATATGGGATAAAAAAAAAATTCTATAGTTAAGCAATTTTTTCTACAAATGTGCAAAAAAACTACTTAATTAAATAATTCACCTAGTTTAACATTAAATAATATGAAAAATAATGACTTCAGGAAGCACCACTGAGCTCAGTAGCTCAGCTTACAGTAATCAATTAATGTTAATTAGTCAGGAATCACCGATCAACAGCCAAAATCGATGTATCGATATATATGGGCTGATATATTGGCGATATTACTGTAATGTCTTTTTAAGAAATCATTTTCCAGGACCTTTCCAGAAGTTGTCTCGACAATACAGGACAGCACTTGATAATAAACGGTCATATAATTTACTGGAAGACTTTGTCTTGAAAGGATTAACCCAGTTTTATTACATCATTACTGGGTAAAGTAGAAAGTGTTTGTTGCACACACAATTGACATTGCTGTGCATGTATTTATTAACCACAAAAACAAGACTTTCCACATTCTTTCATGAGAATTCTGCTCTCTGTGAAAAAATAGACTTAAAACTGAAAAGATTGTTTCTTGCAGCATGGAAATGATCAATACAATGATAACATCACTGTGTTTCTTTGGAAGAAAACTCCACAGGGTACCTTTAATGCCGCATTAACGATGTGGTCACATACTCACAATGTGGTCACAACAGTGTATGAGAGCCATGTTACAGTTTGTAGTCTAATAATGTGACACTGTACTAAATATAGTTATGAAATATGTTATAATAATAATAATAATTTCCAAACACATCTGACTGAGCACATCTGCTCCGAACAGGAAACAGGAAACTGAAACAGGAAACGCACACTTGACTTTGTTGCGTCATTTCATGCTTCAACAGGAGTGAATGGGAAATAGAGCAGAAAAGCGCCCGTGGACGGAAGTGTGATGCGACCGTATCGTAACATGCAACACATTAAGCCGTCTGTCTGAAGAGGTCTTAGACAGTCTTGTGACAATGAGGCCCACCAGTCATACAGATACGTTTGTTAGAGGGAAATCAACTGTAAAGTATGTATCTATGCATAATCTGAAGTTATAATTAACACAGTGACAGAAAAACTTGTATCTGGTCTCATTTCTCATTTTTGAAAACAAATTAAAAATACACTTTAGATCATGTATCATGATACAGTTACAGTAGTCTTTTTCTTTGTGTGTTTCATAATAATATAATTTAAATTACTGGGTTATTTGGAATTATGAATGCCCTCGTTTCTCTACAAGCATTCAAATCAGTCATTATTTATTACCAGTCATTCCTTTAATCGGGATGGAAAATTAATTTCACGTTATTGTTCTGCACTGATTGTAAATGACCAGAGTGTGAAGGTCAGTTTGTCTCACCACTCCAGCAGACATCAATGTTGAAACCTATATGAAAAGTGCTTTCTGCATCGAGGCTACCAGTGTGCTTTTCACTACTAATGCCTGATCTGTGGTCAGTTTTTAACCGTACCTGTAATCTCCGCTTGTCTTTTTCTGGAAGGCAGCTGCGCCTGGATCCCCCACCATCGACACCGTCACCATCTCAAAGCCAACACTGTACTGCCTGCAGACACACAGACAGAAAACCAAAGACAGGGAATAACTACCAGCTTCAACACTGTGTGGACGGTAAAAACTTGAGCAGAACTTTAAACAGCCTGTGGTTTTCTTTTTTAGTTTTTATATACCAATAGTATATTTAATCCTGCATTTAACCTCAACTTCACCTTGTGTTACTGTTCATCTTCCTCACAATACTGGGTACACGATAAGATTTTGATTCCTTTTCTTATTAAAAAGGAAACTAATGTCGCCTTATTGTGCCTTGATGTCCCGATCAGGATATAACTGGGTGACACGGGGAGCCATTTATTGTGATCATCTTGTAGTCAGGCTTTAGTACAACTCATTAACACCATCAATCACAAGTTCCTGACCTCTTTACTGTCTGTACACTCACAGAACGGTCACATTCATTTATAAGTGACTGTGGAAAATACACCGAGTTATGCAACATTAAGATAATGGGAGACAGTGTAAAATTAGTTTATGCTGTCAATTTATTGCTACCATACTACTATTGTATCTTTTTTTTAATAGTTTTATTTCTTTTTACCCTTTTTATTGTTTGTACAGCAGCTGCAAATTTCTACTCTTCCAAAATGTTTAACAGGCCAGTTTGAAGGAAAGAATTAAACACACTGCAATCCCTGAGTCATCCTGGGGTGTGTCTGTGTATGTGTGTGTGTGTGTATGATAGTGCGAGAGAGAGAGAGAGAGAGAGAGAGAGAGAGAGAGAGAGAGAGAGAGCGCTCCAGCAGATCATTAAGTGCTAATACCACAGTGTGGAAAAGTCACTGAGTCATCCTGTTAATGAGTCATTTATTAAGTCGGCCAGATTTATTTAAATTGAGGTGAAATGTAATGACCTCAGCGGTGGCATCATTTCCTTGCTTGATGAATGAACATGTCTGCTCAAATATCCATCTAAATGTCATATATATTATATATATTGCTACAATATTGATAGAAATCTTGCCATTCAACAGACATTAGTTTTTTATGGCTGATAGAAACATTACAGATTTGTTTGGGCCAAAATTCTTTAGAAATAATTGTGGCCAAATGTTGTGTTATTAAATTGAAACGATTCAGTTTCATTTTTCATTTCATTCCTGAAACCCAGACTTAGAACTGGAACTAAAGCTGACACTGAAACCAGTCGAGGTTTTAGATCACTGAAATATCTGTGGTCTCATTGGAGCTTCTGGAAATATATAACATAACATTAAGATCAACTACACATGGCCAGCTACTGAAGGAACAATGGCGTTAGTGGAGGCACAATAAAGTCAAAGGGTCTTCTATTTCCTGTATTTCTATACATTTATATCAATGTAGCAAGTAACAAAAGGTAGTATAACTGCATTATTGATGCTGTGTGTGTGTATATAACCTGAGACATAAAACCTGGAGCAAAAGTGATCAACCAATCCCTAATTTCTGTTTATAAAGGGTACTGCTGTTAATAACTGAAGCTGACTCAGAATAATGTATCTATCAACATTTGGATCAACTCCTCTCATCTCTCATCTGGATTCTAACAGCTGGACAGTCAGTGGACTGGAGAGATGTCGGCCTAATATATCAGTTAATCTGTCCATGGTATCATCAGCCTGACCTAGATCCTCGGAGCTCGACGAGCAGCGGTCCCGAGCGCTCCAGGTTGATCTGATAGATCGGGTTGTGTTTGTAAGAATCCTTATAGTTCCCACAACCTCCAGCGCTGATCCCCTTCCACTGACCGTTGATCTGGAGACAGACACAGAAACACAATGACTAAAAACACATTGACAGTATATATAAAATGGACAGAGCTTCTGGGTCTGTGACGTGAAGCCAATGCTGAAGTGTCTTAAACCTGCATTTAACATAATGGCCAGCAGGGGGCAGCTCCACTGGCTGCAATAAAACACAGATACCATACAGTCTTATGGAGAAATGAGCCGACTTCTCACTTGATTTATGAGCTCAGTAAACAGTTTCCTGATGAGTTTATGATCTCAATCTCTAGTTTCAAGTCTTATTCCATACAGTATGATGTTCATTTAGTAAATTATGATGGGTTCACACTCGGTTTTTATATTTTCTTGTATGTAGGTGTGTGGATAACATACCCGTTTGGTTTGAGTGAAAGGATTTGGGATCTTGGAGAAGGTGAATTTGCATCCGGAGTAAACCTGCAGAAAGAAACAAAACCTGGTATTTTACACTGAACATGAGCAGGTCTAACAAAAGAAATCTGGCTGGTAGATGAGGTTTGAAATCTAAACAGTAGACAGATGTTGCGTATGATTGCAATGTGTCAGAAAATGAATAAACCAGAAAGAAACAGAGAAATATAAATATAAAACAGCCAGTGTTTTGGGGCAAAAGCTGGTGAAAAAGGAAAACCCTAATATTACTTCTTGGTTATCAGCAATTTTGTGAGACAAAGTGAAACATGTTTCCAAATGGTGGATATCACACTTTGAAACAAAGCTGTTTAATTTATTCATATGACTATCTGCCCACATAATGGAGCTTTCATATCAGCGCTCTGGTAAAAAAAAACATCGGAATCACGTTTCCTGCTTTGATCTCTGGTGAAAACTCAGTGAACAAGAGAGTTCAATCACTTATTCTCAAGACGGTTTTCAAAGAGAAACGCTGATCTGAGCTGGGGGGGTGAGAGGGAGAGCTTGCAGTGATTACAGGAGTTCAGATGCTGTTACACACACAGTATATCAGCTAAAATATTAAACATACAGCAGACACGTGTACAGGGTACATGTTTTTTTTAATGAGCGATTTCAGTATAAACAGTCCTCGCTGCAGTTAGCAAGAGGAGTCCATAAATTATAAATAACAAAAAAATTATATTTGGGTCACAAACACACACACACACACACACACACACACACACGCACACGCACACACACGCGCACACACATACACGTGCACAGAGAGAGAGAGAAGAGAAGTGAAGAGATCACAAACTGACATGCAAGAGATTTACTTAAAAATAATAATTTATTATCGTGTCGACGCAGATGCACAATGTGCTTTCTGTGATCTCTAACTCTGGAGATTAAAGAAGGTCTCTCTCACCCGCAGCGTGTAGTTGATGGTGTTCTGTTTCTCATACTGGGACACCACCAGGGTGAAGGTGTGTGTCCCTGCGCTGGTGAGTCTCATCTTGGTCAGGTAATGTGGGCTATTGATACGGATGCCGTCGATGTAAGGAGGGGGGTCCGCTGCGGAGGGAGCCGGGGGAGTTTATTCACAGTGAATAACCAGAGCGCAGCTGACAGTTAACCATAAATCAAACTAATAACCAACAGCAGTCATCATCAGACAGAATTATCATACTTAAACAGTTCCCTAGTGTTACTGAAGGATGACAAAATGTTAAAATACATAAAATACATATTATCAGGTTGAATTCAACTAAAAGCTCTCTGCACCAAACTCCATTAAGAATTATGACATTTTAACAATTCCCAACATGTATGTAAGGGCACGTTACTCTAGAAACATGAGCTAAAAACCGTCATTTGTCGACAGTCTTCTTGTAAATTCGGCACTGTTGAACAGTTCACACAACACGATCCATCTCACGGGAGTGTGCGCTCTTCCAAAATAGTGGAAAATCAGGGCTAACATCACGCAGTGTGAACTCGGCATAAACTTTCGTTTTTTTTTCAGGTGAGTAAAAGGTTTGTTCGATGAACAATAATCTACAGTACAGACCTCACAGCTCAGTGCCACAGAAAGAAATAGCCTTCTCAAACCTTACCTGGGTAGTAAACCTTCTTCCCATCCGTCTTGTAAACAACAAGGGTGATAAACTCTCTGTTTTGTGCAAAATCATCCTGAACAAACAAACAGATCACACTCATTAGACAAAGGTAAAGCCTCACAATATAACCAGAAATCTGAAAAAATACAAATATATCATGACATGGCTTTATCATTATCTCCCTGCTGTGTGTCACCTTGTCAGTGATGTGTCTGGTGAGCAGTACCCACACAGCAGCTCCCCCTGCTGGACACTGGACCTCCAGCTTGTACTGGGGATTGTTGGCCAGACTGTAGACGTCCTTCACCGGACCCTGCTTCCCATCCCAGCTACTGCAGCCGATAAACAAACCACAGAACAACACTTTAGTTTATATACTTTATATACTCTAACAAAACCTGGCAAATAAACACACCCACCTGTGAATACAGGAGGAGTCTTTGAACAGGGCGGGGTTCCAGCTCAGGTAGATGACATCATAGTACTGACAAAGGTCCTCCCATGCGATCCAGAAAACTCCTGGAGAGAAACACCGAGGAAAATACATGTATCATTTGATGGAGCACAGAAGCATTGCTGCTGGGGATTGGACTCTATGGTGGTGGGTGATTACTTCACCATGTGCAACCCATCCATCACAGTAATGCTACACTACAATAGGAACTGACACTGAATATAAATAAGACACATTTAATCATGTTAATTTTAATTTTGATTGATATTCCACTAGGCTTGGGCATATCTTTTTTTTTGCATATCGTTCTTTCACTGCAGTATGAAGGTATAAAAAAACATAAAAGCTGAGGTGCAGAAGTCACTGTAGCATACAGGAGCATTTCTATTTTAAGCAGCGCAGCTTTTCTAGCCTTTACAGCACTGGTTTCAAGGCCAGTTTAAAGGCCAGTTTTCTTGACAGTTCACAAACCGGTAGGCCTAGTATTGACACATTTACATAGGTGATCTGAGTGAGGGGCTAAAATATTATTAAAATTATTATTTTAAATTTAGATTATTTCCAGGGTATTTGGTCATTTTAATCGATGTGTTTCCATGACTGGACAATGGAACATTTCAGGGAATTGTCACTATATCAACTTCAGACAGAAGTATTTCTGTCTTTACTTTGTATTTAGGAAAAACAAAGGCAATACCGTTGTCAAACTTCTGTGCTGTCTTGGGGTCAAAGTTGAGGTATTTGAGGAGTTCGGGTGTCCAGTTCTTCTCGTCGCGCTCGCTGTAGCGGCCCTTCCACCGCAGGTGACTCCACGGATTCTTCAGCTGCAGGAAACGCATTCCCTACAACAACAGACAGCACAGACATGGTGTCAGTTACAACCGATACAACAGATGGAAGGGCAGGAAATGTAGTGACCCAGAACCAAGCCTGGACCAGTTTATTATTTGAAAATGGGAACGTGGACCCATGTAGAACTGAGAAATGTTGTCCTGAATCTGTCCGAGTGATACAGACACAACTGCACCAATAACAGCTAATTAACAAGTTGACGTTAATTTAAAAGTTCTCCCTCATGCCTGGCCGTGGCGCATATAATCCATTCTCCTCGCCAAGAAAGTTGGTCAAATAAATCTGTTTTCTGTTATTCCTCTCTCGCTGATTGCAACAGCATTGGCTAATTCACTCATTATTTCAGCTTAAAAGTCCACTTGCTGCCACGGTGACGGATGGCAAACACGACTCCTTTAGAAGGAGCCTTGAAGTTTTGTTGCATGTGGACTCAAACCCGTACTGTTCTTGGGTGGATCCGTGAAGAGCTCTAATTCAATCTGTGAATTCAACATCTTTAAAACAGCTTTCATTTGGGTGGAAGGCGGCACTCCATTTGCCATGCTGATAATGCCACATGATAAGTATCACACTGGTTGTACTGCATTCCCTGCAGTGCAGTTTCTGCTTCCTTTAGCTGGGAGTCTTCAGCAGTTTCTACCGACACGAACAGCTTCAACATCCAAATGTTTCTATGTTTTATTTAACTCTCAGGCTAACACAATGCTAACTTTCTTTACTACAGCTTCATCTGTAGTTTTAATATTCATGAGTAGTGTTGAATTCCTACCATTACGTTTCAATTGAATTCAACTGAATTTACCAAGAACTCCCACAATGTTCCAGACTTTGGCTTCGTATCAACAGTAACATTTTCAATATTCCCTCTGAGTGCTTATGATGACATGCTAATGCTAGTTTGATTACGCTAACCTTGTAATCCCTGATGTCAAGCACAGCGTAGGCGTGTGTTGGCACTAAACCCCATTTCTCCCCTTCTTCCTCTGTCATCACCCCTGTTGCCGTGGTGATGAGGACGTCACCCCTGTGAAACCTGGCAACAGAGAGAGAGAGAGAGAGAGAGAGAGAGAGAGAGAGAGAGAGAGAGAGAAGCAGACACAGAGGAAAAAATAAAAACAGTGTTTGTTTCAAACTACAAAGTAACTTTGCTGTGTATGTTTGTGTGTTGCTCACCTCTGGAAGAGCATTCGGAAAGTGTCGTCCTTGCTGAATGACTGATTGTCTGAGTGCATGGCGATGCGTTCGGGGATCCAGCCGGTGAGCGCGTGCAGATCGATGTTCTGTAACGCAGAACAAATATCATCACAATCTCATTGCTCGGCAAACATCCGACTTTGGTGTGTATTCGATACGATGTCTGCAGAGAGTGGCTGGACAAAACATAGATTGTGTGCAAATTCCAAAGCTTTTAAGATCTGGAAGTGATCAGATGTGTCTTATTATAATTGTCCAGACTTGCTAAGCCTGTTTAATGTGTACTAATAGTAGTTTCCTCACCGAGTTGGAGCCAGGGAAGTCGTAGCCTCCCATCACCTTCATGTAGGCCTTCTCTATGAGAGAGACCCAGAGCTCGTTCCTGTTGCTGGAGTAGGAGCACAGCAGCTCTCCGTTACGATCCACCGGCAGGTAGTCGTCTATAATCACCTGCAGCGGCGAGAGAAACAGACGGGAGTTTGCAGTTTAGGGTTGTACAGATGAGTTTGACCGATGATAAAAAGATCATGATTAGTTTGTCTGTGAACACAGTATGTGTGGATATGAATGTGTGCATATTCAGATAGATTTTATTAGTAATAATAAATAATAATAATAATAATAATAATAATAATAAATCAGTGAAAACCGTTTTGAACTAAAAGTAAAAAACATTTGAAGCTAAATGACAAAACACAGATCACATTTGCAGACTGAGAAATGTGAAATAAGCTCGTTCTCACTATTTGATTCATCTTCTTCATGTTCACCTTCACTTCTTGAAGAACTATGTTGGCGGCAACAGAGATCATTTTTCTCTGTTACTCTTTCCATTCACAAACAGGAATGTCTCTAAATGTGCCGAATGTGCATTCATAAAGGTGCTATATATCCTGCTGTAGTTTATGTGTCTCGTACTGCGGCTGGTGATTTGTCTTTTACCTTCCTGGGAACTCCGTTGATGTGAAGCTTGACCATGTACTTCCCACAGGGGTTATACTCTGGATCCCCTCGTCTGTTCTGAGGGAAGATGACGCTGTAACACACACACACCACACACACACACACACACACACACACACACACACACACACACACCTTATTAAAACCAATCAACAGAGATCCAAATCACAGAGCGGACACACTAATTACCTTTCGGTTTCCAATGACGAAATTTACTGAATTCATCTCGCATCCAAACCCATCGTAATTAAAGTGAATGGTGTGCAGATTTGCATATCAGACGACTCTCCGAGTGCCTTTCTAGTTGAATACGTAATGAAAGTCCCAAATGTAATGATTATAGGACTTTTTGTATATGTACTGTATAAGTGATCAGTTCTACTCTGGTTGTAAATGTTTAAGACAATATGTGACAACAATATATTTTTTCCAACAACATATGGAATATTGAAAACAGATTATTTTAGTTTATTTGTTCTGAAATGGGTGAAGTTTAAAAGGTACTGAACAACAGCACAAAATGCTGGCACTTGTAAATGTTTCTTCCTGCAACTGGTAACCAGTTAAAACACAGTACCTGGTAATGAGTTTCTTGTTGTAGCGCCTCTCGTAGGCCGCACTGATGGCTAGCGACGCCACAAACGAACAGTCAGACACCACCGTCTGGACAAAAGGCAGAGAAGGATCACATTCATTCCTGTTTAATATGTGTACACCAGTAATAAAGCTGCCAGTATGACATTATGCTGTGAACGTATCCCTACATATTAACACATACATCTACACAAAAACAATGACAGATAAACATATTTAACTGCGTTTGGAGGGCTGAATGTTTATACTGTATCAGTAACAATGGTTATTTTCTGGAACATAAAGATCCTTATCTGTGATAATGCTGCCCTCTACTGGCTAAATTCAAACAGGTTCTTACAACCAGTTAATACAGAACATAAAATATCAGCACTCAGGCTGACAGGACAGAAAGACACAGCACAGCTATACACTCATGAGGAGGTAGAGGGGACGTAATGCAGAGAATATGAGAATTAGAAATTATAATTATGAAATAACCCAGACTTAAAAATTAAAAAAGGGTTGAGAAGCTGTACAGTAGCCAGATCCACTGACTCCAGCTGCTAACCTCACCTGTTTGATGCTGAAACTGGACACAGACATGATCATGGTGGGGTTATTGCAGATCTCGTCCGGTCGGACCCAGCGGGAGAAGATGGCTTTCTGTTTGGGCGACAGTGCCAGTTTCCCTGTTTTGTCCCTGGTTAACAAACAAAGCTGCAGGTGGTTAATGTTTTGTGCTGACATTGAGTATTCAGTTTGCCAATAACCTCAGACTTGGCAAAGCCACTAAAACTACATCCATATTTCAAAGCCAGCGTTCCTAAAGCATTTCTGAAGCATTTTAGGCAACTTTGGTCTCATAAAACAGATGAGCATGTAAACTGAATCTAAAATGATTGATTGAGGCCCCCACTTGCACCACAAGCACATAGAGCTGTGTAAGGTGGAGGAGGAAATCAAATAAACAGCTCAATACAAACAATGCCATTTCATCCTGTGTTCTTCCCATGAAGCCTACTCAAAAATATTTTTCCCCATTGTATTAGTGAGCTTAGTAAAGACGGTTTTGTCCGGCTACAAAGCCTTCAGTACCTCAGGAGCTGTGTTTAAATGGTTCAGAGGACTGTGATGGCTATAAAGCAGTGTGAGGTTGGGGTGGATTTAGGGCTGGAGGCTTTATTAGAACCACTGATGCTTTACTCTTGGTATGAGTTTTAGGAAAAGAATGCTAAAGCCTTCCAATAAAACCCAAATTTTACATTGTACTGGTACAAAATATACAGATATGACATGACAAATTTAACTTTACAAATGTGAAAAGGACAAATATCTGACACCACGGATACAGTATTTGACAACCTCTTTCCATGTGGGAAAAGTTGCCATCCCAGGTTTATTTTTCCTATCTGAGTTTTCCACTTTTTGTGTCAGTGACTTAAACCTCAACTGAGATTTGACAGATATGGTAGCAGAACTACAGAATCCTTCTCACTTGTAGCTTTGTTACAATAAACAGTGCGAACACAGATTCAGAGTGCTACAGTTCGTTGAGGAAAAACAACTCAGTGAAATCCAAAATGTGAAGCTGATCTTTAACTGGCCTGTGTGACCTTCAAAATAAAATGATGGAAAGCAAACTTACGAGAAAGGGACAGGGAAGGCGAATCTCTCCCTCAGGTCCACACTCATGAAGGGCACATAGGCTATGCCATTGATTGTAGATGTACTCCTGACAATTAAAATGGACAAGATTAGTGCAGCAGAAGCAGCTAAGAGAGTGGCTTGTGATGTGAAAGAAAGAAACATGTTTTTTAGTGTGATGAATGGGGTTGTAGTGGCCATCACACCACAACCAGATGGCACCAAAGTAAATCATTTTCTTCTTTTCTTTTGCACTTTTTCCTATTTAACAGGAGTTCACATTTTTTTTCAAACATGACCCACTACTTTTTTAATTTTGGTGGAAACAGGTCAGTCTGTGCCACAGACACCAGTGGAGTATTCCACAAGATGGGAAAAAAACTACATTTTTAGCCTAAAATAAACTTTCTTTCTTTAAAGAAAAGAAAGTTAGGTAAAAACTAGTCACATTGAGTCTGAATTATTTGTGTTCAGGGCCACATTTAACAGCCTTTGACAGTCACATAATCACAGAGATCAAACAAAATTGTACTGGTGGCTGTGAGAATCTCAGTTTCACTGCAGATTTAAAACATTTACAGGAAGTGATTTCTCACACCTTTCGATCAACTTTGTCTTTTCCTCAGGACCTTTTACCAGATTGGAAAACTGTACTAAAGAGTTTCTCGTGGCTCACCTGAGCACCTCGATCTCCTCAGACGTGTAGCGCTGACCCTGGGGCTCGCTGGACTGGACCGCCCGGACCGGCTGGGGTTGTGGTCGGTCGTGGAGGCTGAAGTCTGGGCCGAGGGGGAAATACTGGCGGACCGGTCCCCCAGAGTTGCCCGCACTGCTGGGCTTGTTTCCAGAAGGCCCGGTCTGAGCTGCAGTTGATTTGGCCTGGGACTCTTTAAGACCCTCCGCCCTGAAAGAATATAGTGGAGGAGACAGTTCAATTAATTCATTATAATTTATCACTTTTTTTCAAAGGAAAAGAAATCGCAAAAATATAAATATATAATAAAACTGGACAGTCATGTGGCACATCTATACTCTACATATGTTTTTATATTTAATAAAAGGTTTTAAGGGTTAAGGGTGGAAGTTTACCAAAGACAAAATCCATCTATTGACCTAAAATAAAATCCACATTGGACATTCATGACTACAACAAGACAACAGCATTAACATTCAGGAACATTTACCTGTCTAAAGCCTGACGTGCAAGCTGCTTCAGCTTGGTCTGCAGCGCCTGGTCCGACGTCTCGTTGGACTGTCGCAAACACAAAAACAGAGACAAATGTGGAAGCGAGCGGGAATAATGTGAGGGAAGATCAGGTGAAAGTCACTGTCTCTGAGAGAGTGATGACAAAGAGAGAGTGAGAGACCTACCGTGTTAATGCAGAGCTCCACAGCTTGAGTGTATAGTTCAATGGCTTCATCATCATTCCCCTTCTCGTCTTCTTCGAAGGCCTGGGTGACCAGGAAGTGGGCACGCTCCAGGTCCACCTGCTGCCGGGACTTCAGCGGGTCAATCTTCTGTGCCTGGCCTGGAGTCACAGCAATGGTTAGGACACACAGGAGACACTATGCTGACAGAGGGTGGCAAACGTCAAAATGTGCCCAAATTAAGAGATCAGACGTTCAGCCTTCTGATTTCTAATACTCTAATATCAGTTAGTGTTGTTATAACTCTAATATCAACTGCACTACAGCTACAAACTGGTTTGTTGCATCTTTTCCACAGAGGTTTTTTATATCCATGTTTGGCTTCTGGAACTAATTCAGTCGATCGTGGCTGGTTGGGCTGGGATCCAGTTTAAAAGGGATGTTTGATGCTGTTCAGTCTTTTTATCAGCCTCACCCAAAATGCCACAGTCTGCCATCAAGCCACAGTCTCTCTATTCATACGGCTCTCCTGCTTTAGCAGTACACTATACTTAAAGAAGGGATGCTGAAATTGAATTTAATCTTTTGAATAATATTTAAGTGGCAGTGCCAGTTTTTTAGGTCCATCAAGGCAGAACTGATGGAACTGTTGAAGTGATGTGCTGATTCAGCGGTATGGTCTTTTAGGAGGCTGTAGTTTGTGCTGCTGCTGAATTTAATTGCGTTATACTGAGAGGTTGTTTCTGATATTTTGCGTCCCAAAACTCTTCTGAACTCTACTTTCAGCTGTCCCAGACTAACCCTAACCCTAACCCTTAACAACCATTGTTCCAAATTGAACATATTGAATATAGGTTCGTAACTATTTTTCGGTAACTTCATTGACTCGCTCTGTTTTCATTATCCGTTTAATCATTGGTTGAGTTTCTTGTTTATTTCTAAATGTTCGGTCAATAAATGCATCACTGCAAACTGCAGTGTGAATGCAAACCTGTTTCTGATCGGTATACGGCAATGGAAATGTACATTTATTATTATTTAGCCAAAGAATCACAAACTCAAACTTTTATTTTTTATTTACAAAGGGAGGGAGAAGATCGAGCAAACTGTTCAAATATTTACCAGCACAAAACAAGTATTTAAGTACACGCTAAATGAACACGCTAATCCAGAGATCCGGTGAGAAAAGAGAGAGAGAGAGAAGGTCAAATGTGCTCCAAACGTCACACCTACTGACAGCCTGCACACGGCACAAGAGGAGAGGTAGAGACCCTGGCGCTGCAGTTACTCTTAACAGCATGCATGTGAATGAATTAATGTATGATTGAATATATTTCTCTTCTTCTCCCTGATGGTCTGAATAAGTCACTAGACTTGTCATAAGTCACTAAGAGGGTCTGACAAAGGGCTGAATCTTGCAAGAAAGTTGCCAAGTTATTAACACCGACTTGATTTTGTGTGTATCAGTGTGTGTGTGACGTAGTGGAGAGCTTGTGCCAGTGACAGTTTGAACACCTAATAGTTCAATTATATTATGTGACGCATAAAGAGAATGATTTCATTTATAATGGTACTATAATTCTCCCAGACACTCTACCTTTGTGTCCCAGGTTTTATTTTTATTGGACAACGGGACAATCCTTAATTTCCAGTGCTGACATGTTGTTCACTACATTTATAACAATGAGGGGAGACTCCTTTTAGTTTTAAAAGTCAGGCTCACATAACGTAATGTGAAAAACTGTATTCATTATATGTTATGAGATTCAAAAAAACAATCCACTACACTTACAGAAAATCTCTCTTTTCCTTTTTCCACAGAAAACAGTCACACACGGTACTAAACGTCATCCACTGACTCTGCAACTAAACAGAGACACTCCCACAGTCTCTGTGGTCACACCCATGTGCACACACCCATAGAGTGAGGAGAGTCACGGAAACAAGGCATCAGACAGCAAATGAGAAAGTATGTCTTCAGGGCCCATTCAGTAACAGCCCTGATGAATTTCTTACTAACTTACTAATCACAAGAACTTCTTTAGATTTAAATTAGACGAACAGTGGCTCATTTAACATAGCAGAACCTGCCAAATGCTGCACGTACAATAAAGTTACATCGATGTTAACTTTTTGTTTTCCCAACAGCATGAACTGTGAATGCAAAGGTGTTTGTCTTTCAACTGTCTAGTAGTGCAAGTATGGAAATCAGGGGGCCATGTCTCTGCAGAGTCATTTCTCAGGTACTTCAAAGAAATTAACTGAAAGTGAGGATTTTATAAAGCAGAAACGTGACATCATATCAACATCACCTGACCCTATCATCCATTTGCACATGGCACTATTGATTGGAGCTGACAATAAAACAGTGCATCTCCTGTGTCTCTCATCAGGTGAGCTTACCAGCATTGTGGAGGGCTTGGACCCGATCCAAGTACTCATTCACTTTGTCCTGGATTCCCTCCAGTTTGGACCCTGCCATGCCAGCATATATGAGGGCCTGGGCTGCCTCCTGGAAGCACAAACCCCAGAAGATCCCGACGTTAAAACAAAAGACACAGCTATCAACTGGCCAACTAATGTACTTCACTAAATGCATGCATCACAAACGAGTATTTAGGTCCCAAAGTGGGCCGAGCTGCATTCTGGAAGTGAAAGTGAATGTTTCCTTTCACCCACCTACCTTATAATAAAACACAGCCTCGTTGTATTTGGCCTTCTGGTCATAGGTGACGGCTGTTTTGGCGAACTGAACCGCATCGAGCTCCAGCGCCGTGCAGTCCATGCTCAACTCCGTTTCAGCTAACCGCTAGCTTTTACCGTAAATCACCAAAACCTAACCCCCCAAAAAAAAAATAAAGTGTCTGTCTTTCACTCGGAACACAACTCGTTTCATCCACTCGGACACAGCATAGTAACGTTACAGATGCTCCTCAATCCCGGGGAGACAAGTGCCGAGTAAAAGTTTCGCTTTAGCTTTTGACAGATGGCTACTGTACGTTGTTGTTGTTGTTTCCGGGAGACTCGATTCGCGCAGTCGCAGTAGAGGGCGATAATGTCAAACAAACGGTGTTGCATTCAGGTGCAGTAAGAAATAACAGCGCCGCTGGCAGTTCAGTCGTTATGAGCGTTATAACTTTAAAAAGCCATAACGTGCTGTAGTTTTATATATCCAATAATTTCTGTAAGGCATATTAACCTAACAATTTATTAGTTAAAAAACTTCATCAGTCAAAGAATATCAGTGGCACTTGGGATCATTTCTTAGCTGCCAGAGGGACTCTATAGCGCCCCCCAGAGCTCAAAGGCTCAGACTGGAGCTATCTGCCAGGAGGCTCCTCTCTTCCTGCTCCTTTCTGTAAAATGTTGAGTGAATGGCTTTTAGGGGTTTGCCAACTGTTTTGCTTTCCATTGACACAATCCGATTTACACTGTAGGTGACTGTATGAGGCAGAAAAAATGCTAGTGTCCCAGACACTGTATGTTTGTGTCCCATGTGCTGTTTTTATTGTCCGAGGGACAACAGGGTGGGCCTGAGCACTGGCTTCTGAAGTAGTACTGACAGTAGGGATTGCAAAACTTATTGCAAGTGAATGCAAAGGTATTTCAGAAATCCTTTGTTTGATCTTTCAGGGGTTGAGTAAAAGTCAGGTGTTCAAGGTGGAGCCGACCAGAATGCTTTGAAACTTCCCCTGTTGCCATCAATGTCCAAATCAGTATATTTTTCTAGTTGTTTCATATCCATTTAAACTACCCGTTCATATGTAATTAAATAAAAAATAAAAATGAAATAAAAAGACATGTATTTTTTGTATGTATGTAATTTTTTGCCACACAGTAATGGCAAAAGTCAAAGGTACCTGCAAATGCGTACATATGGTTGATGAGAGAGCAGGTTTTCAGGCCTTGAAATATTAGAATCATGGAAATATTTTCAGAAATGTTACGCTTTCTAGTATTTAAAGTGGCCTTGCTATGAGATGACAATACCAGCAGTGTGGTCCCACGATAACTGATCACAATGATTACTGATAAAGGTTTATTCTCACACATCCATTAGTTTATCTGATCTGCAGTCAGATGAAGCCAATGCAGCCACTTCTCCCCAGATCTGCCTCTGTCTCATCAAACATGTTACAACATCCTGAATAATGTTATTCTTTAACACTTGATGAAATCTTACTGATATTTTCAATGAGTAATATGTTAAAAACAGACAATAACAAGAATGTGTGACAGTATTTTTATTTAATATAATCGACTGAAACAGGAATTTACTACTAGATAGATAAATAACACTTAACTGTCTCCTCTACATAATAATATTCTTTACATCAGAACACAAATGCTTAAGAAAACAGCTCTGGGATCACTCTGTTGAGAACAAGTGATGCAGCGCCCCCTGTTGGCCAATCAGCAGCAAGCATTTCAAATGTTACATGACAATAACAAATAAGAAACTTTGAGCACTTTTGTTGGTCTCTTTCATCAATCTGCTGATATACAAACTGTAAGAACTGCATCTCTAACTAAGTAGAAGAAAAGCACATCAGAGTTATTAATGATTAACACTTAAATCCCCTTTAGGCCAGTTACTCTATATTCTTCTGTATATCTGCACATAAACAGTAAATCAGTTTTTTTCCAGCAACAAACACCTAAAGTAACCATACATACAGCTTTTTGAAATAATTTACTTAAAATAAATGTTTTTTATAAGAAAAATTATCCCTTATGCATTTATTATGAAGGAGACATTATTTATGAAAATTAAAGTAACTAAAATATTGTGTAGACATTGCATAACACATCTAAACAGCTACTCACTAAGGTAATCGCATATATATTATAAATATACATAAAGTTACATTCACATAGTGACATGGACTGAAATACAATCAGTGTGAAATACACAAAAAGTACTGTCTACCCAGGAGAACTCAAGATAAGCACATTGGTGTTCTAAGCCCTTTGCAAAACCTTCAAATACAATTAAATCACAATTATAAATGTTTTCCAAACTCCATTTAAACCTCATATGATCCTAATTATAACTTAACCCACTCTTTATCCCAGCCCTCACATCATATAAAAAAAAAATTAAACTGTGAAGTTTGATATTAATAAACCAGTTGATATTATCTTACATGTAATCAATCTTTACAGAGGATCCAGTAACATTCTCAAGTTTGACTGCAGTGTTTAAACAGTTAAAGCTTTCTGTTCACAGATCCATTGATGTTTGTCACTACAGTTCACTGATTTGATCAGTCCTCTGTTCTGGACAAAAGTTGCACAGTGACCTTCAGTAGGAGGAGGTTGTGGTTTCCAGGATCTGAGGGAAGAACATGATGTTTAGATCAAGGCTGATAGATTTTATGATTCAAAATGTTTAGGAATGTGTCTCTTACTCTTCAGTCAGATCACTTCCATCGACCCACTTCCATTTCCCATCTTCAACTCTCAGTCCAATCCAGAAATGGCCACTTCTTGAATACCAGTTACTGATATAGCTCTGACACCAGAGAGACAGTTATCAGACATTTAAAGACTGGACTTAAATAAACACACTGTGGCCTACAGACTCACAGTGTGCTCAGACTAACAGAAAATATTTTCAATCTCATAAAGACTGTCAAATACATTCCCACAGTTTTCTCATTACCTTCTCTTGTTCATCAGTTATAACAACCAGATCTGAACTCTTTCCTTTGCAGTCTTCTCGAGCTTCATCCCAGGGTTTCTGACCAGCAGGCTCAGGGTTATTAAACGCATAGCAGCCAGACTGGAAGTTATTCCAGCCATTCTGACAAGGTACACACTGTCTTTCTGAACCTACAGAGACCAACCAATAAACAGCATTAGTGCATTCTGATATTATTGTTATTGGTTATTTTAGGAACTAATTAATGGGTTCTGAACATACCTCCACTTTTTAGGGGACAGTAGGCATTAATGCTCCACTGAGCTCGACTGACATTGAGCTCATTCTGCTTTGTCTCCATGTCTTGTATTTTTTCTTCTAAGTTCTTCTTCTGCGTCTTCAGCTCCTGGTTTTGTGTCTTCAGGTTCTGGTTTTGTGTCGTCAGGTTCTGGTTTTGTGTCTTCAGGTTCTGGTTTTCTGCAGTCAGGTTTGTGATCTTGCTTTCTAAGGCAGTATAGGATTTAGTCAGGTTGTTGTGGTCCCTCCTCAAGTTTTCATTTTCTGAGCTCAGATTGCGGTTGAGGTTTGTCAGGTTGTGATTGTCCGCCAGTAGAGACGTTTGGTTTTCTTTTAACTGGTTCAGCTCACCCTCATGATTTAATGTAGTGACTGCAAAACGAAAATAATAATGCAATTTTTTCCCTTCATTTGTTTTGTCATTTTCCACATTTGGAAGCTAATTCCTGTCTGCTCTCCTTCAGGTTTTCAGCTTTTGGAAGTTGTTGGCTCTCAATGTGTTTCTTCAATGTACAAGATCAACAAATCCCATGAAAAGACTAAAACAAACGTGTTAATCTGAATCTTAGTACTTTCGAACTTCCTCTGTGACACTCAGAGCCCAATTGGTTCCTACTTAAGTCAACATTTAACGTTGTCTAAATCAGCTGGGCACTGTAGTTTTAAGTAAACATTACTCAAACAGGAGTGGACCGTGCATTTGTCTGGGATGTTTTTCTGGCAGCAGGATGGTGTGTGTGGGACTGAGTCAAAAGCTGACAGATAACATTGGAGCTCCAAGGATCAGTGCTGTGTTGGTTTGGGTCTGATCATGGGATATGTTTGCAATAAGAAGAAATATATAATATCACTTAACTTATCCTTTAATGCCTTCCTGTTTCTACTAATTCTGTCACCAACCTTTCACTGCTGTTATGTGGCTTTGGTCTCAAATGAATTCACATATTCAATCGACTATATGATCGATAATAAAGGCTTTATTCTGAAGTCAAATTTAAGTGGGAAAAAATAAACATTACATTTATATTTGTTCATTTTGTTTCATTTTGGTTAAATAACCACAAAGCTATAAAACATGGGAATAAAAGTCATTAAGATAACATACAACAACAACAACAACAACAACACACCAACATGCTTTACAGTGTGATACAGTGGGCTTCTCCAAGAATAAATAAATGGTTGCACATTGAAAATAGAAATCATGTAAATAAGAACCCTGTCCTATGAATCCTTTACTCTCTGCAGACATTTCTACATCAGATTTTGTCTCTAGAAATTAACTCTGTTCCTAAAAGATTAAAAAAACTATTTGAGGCAGATTATGTGAATAAAACAAACTGCCTATAGATAATAGAGTTAATGCACGGACTTCCTGTTCTGTATACTTACGGTAGACGCAGACTGCTATGACGCCCAACAGCAAAATGACACAAAGAACCCCCAAACAAGAAGCCAACTGCTGATAGCAGCGACGTCTGTTGTTTGCTTTCTTGTCTGGCAAGATTCCTGCTGAGGCTAAACAACAAAATATAGGAGTTAGACAGTTCACCTCTGGGTCTCTTAATGGAACGGACAAGGGGGGGAACGGGGGATCAACTGTAAGTCAGTCACACCTCGACTTTCTTCTAAATAACTCGAAGGGGGTCTAGCCCAGGGTGTCATTCAAGATAGAACCGCCACTGCTTAAAGTAGAAGCAGTAATAGTGGAAGTGTTAGGAAGAAGGGATGTCCGATAATATCGGCCCTCCGACAGACAGACAGTGTTTACATTTGGAAAGCCATGTTGCATTTATGTATGCATCCAGTGAGGCATCACAATAAAATTAGGTATAATGTGTTAATTCCACAATAGGAGATATGTTATGTTGTTATCTAACAACAGTTTTGGTGTAAAAAGCCTGCATATATCGGTATCGGAAATTGAGAGTTGGACAATATCGGAATATCGGATATCGGCAGAAAAGCCAATATCGAGCATCCCTATTAGGAAGTGTTGGTGGTAGTTACAGCAGTACTTCTGTAGTAGTGGCTGTAACATTAGTTGCAATTGAAGCACTCGTCTAACACTGTGCTGACAAAGACAGATTCAAAATGACTAGACATATTCATTTCCTAATATGGGTTAAACACCCCATAATACAATGTGATAGCATGTTTTCACTAGATCGTCCCAGAGAGTCCACTGCACACTATGTTTTTTGTTCAACTTACCGTCTGTGTCACCAGTTTGTTGGGTTGTTTCACTTCGTACCTTCACTTCATCGTACACAATGTCCTCCTCCTTTTTTGCTGAAAGGTTGAAGGACATAATCATTAAATTCTATACAGTGTTCTAATAACAAGGGACTTTAAAAGTTTATAATATTATTTGAAAAGGGAAACTCTGCCTTTTTAAAAGGGAAACACTTTAAAGCAACTATTTCATTTTCCATTTGCCTGACTGGTTTTAGCTAGCTGTGGTCAGAGTGGATTCTCTATTGTGGGTTGCAGAAATGTGCAAAACTAAACAAAAGACCATCAGTTTACATCCAATATGTCAAAAAAAAAAAAAGATAAAAAAAAGTAGATTGCAACAATTTAATATATAACTTCAACCTATATAACTGTAATAAGAGTTTTAGGAACCTAATTCCAATATAACATCATCATTTTACATTTTGGAATATACATTGAGGAAGTGGTAATAACAGTTGGTAAAAGGATTCAAAGTGTGAGATCAGAGTTTAACAATTTAACAGTTTAACAGTGATGCATGTACTACTTTACTGGTTTTCTTTGTCTAATAATAATCAACATTTTGAACATCAGTGCCAATGTGCAGGGTTAGCTCAACATCTAATTTCCACTGTCTTCCTGCAGTTTAAAAAAAGATGCAATTTAACAACGTCATGCTACAGAGTTTTACAGATGTTCCTGTTTTAAACCCTGGTTGCACCACAAATGTCTCTTTCACAGGACACTACAAATGTAAACTTATTCAGATTTAACATTCTGATCGGTAAAAAAAATCCAATTCACATTCTGAGATTATTGAAGAAACTATCAGTCCAAGAAATGAACATTGTTTATGAGGATGATCACACAAACAAACCAGTAAAGTGACAATTTTAAGTTATCTTTTCTTAATGCACAATTTGAAAAACTAAACTTACCTTCAGGTGGGGAATTATTTTTAGTTTTGAATACAACTGAAGCGTAGCTAACCTCCTCCTCTGCCATCGCTACAGTCGTTCTCTTGAGTGCTCTGTGACTTGTAGACAGAGAAGTACCACTGTAAGTAAACCACTGAGCGTCCTTATACGAGAAGTGGTTGTTTCTTCTGGTAAGTCGAGTCTGTCACTCACTGCCTTGTAATAAAGAACTTCTGCTTTTGGTTGAAAAAAGTAATTTGCGTACACAAATATAATGTTTTTCAATACAAATATGCATTTTCACATCATTTCTGACCATTATTATTACCTTGTCTGTGTACAGACGTTGGAAAAGCCAGAGTAAATTAAAAACACACCCAAAAGCCTGAAGACAAAAGTGGTTGGGGAGGCCCACTGGGGACCAACTACAACTATTAGATAGTAGTTTTAATGCTTATTGATGATGCTTTTTTTTATTTTGATGCTATTAGATCTGGGATATTTAGGTCGTTTTGATGCTTTCCACATTGATTTTTCTTTCATTTGGCTTGAGTGCTGCACGTATAATGATAGGAGAAATACTCTCTAAATGACCTCAGAATCATTATCCTATTGATTATTCAGGATTATTCACATGAGTCTTAATTGACTTAATTTACAGCTTCAGACATTAACTGTAGATATTAATATGAAAAAAAATTAATTTGAAAACACAGAAAAATACTAGTTTACTGTTTAAAAAGTGAACAGTAGCAATTTATTTTATTCTATTCTTCTGGGCCTTTGGTAGAAGAGCTCCGGGGCTCTGCTATAGGGGAATAAGGTGGTGGGGGCTCACTGCCACTACTACGCCGTGACTGCTGCTGCCGAATGAGAGTGTGTTTGTTCTGTTGGTTATGGCTATGTAGTGTTTGAGTGCATATATTCATTGATTTAGTAATTCAGTAATTATTAAATTAAACAGTTAGTTTTGCTTCTGGAGTTGTGTTTCCTTCTGTTGTGCTCCAACACTGTTTGACATATCAGAAAGATCTAATCATGTATCACAAGCTATGATAAAAAATGCACCAGTGAACAGTCTCTGTGTTATCACATGGACATTTCACAATCTTCTTTTAGTTCTTTCTTGACAAAACGAAGAAGTTAAAGATACCACAAATAAAACCATGAAATTCCTCCTTGTAAAACACACAATATGACACTTCCCTGATTACTGAGACTCACTGCACCGAGCTATGATGCTGTATTTGTGCTGATGTTGACTGTGTGTGTAACTGATGTGTGAGCTTCAGATGGACTGAACTGAGGCCAGATCTGCCTCTGTCTCATCCTGTTCAGGTTCAAACATGTTGTAACATCCTGAATAATGTTATTCTTTAACACTTGATGAAATCTTACTGATATTTTCAATGAGTAATATGTTAAAAACAGACAATAACAAGAATGTGTGACAGTATTTTTATTTAATATAATGGACTGAAACAGGAATTTACTTCTCGATAGATGAATAACACTTAACTGTCACCTCCACATAATAATATTCCTTACATCAGAACACAAATGCTTAAGAAAACAGCTCTGGGATCACTCTGTTGAGAACAAGTGATGCAGCGCCCCCTGTTGGCCAATCAGCCATTTCAAATGATACATGACAATAACAAATAAAAAACTTTCAGCACTTTTGTTGGTCTCTTTCATCAATCTGCTGATATACAAACTGTAAGAACTGCATCTCTAACTAAGTAGAAGAAAAGCACATCAGAGTTATTAATGATTAACACTTAAATCCCCTTTAGGCCAGTCACTCAATTTTCTTCTGGATATCTGCACATATACAGTAACTCAGTTTTTTTCAAGCAACAAACAGCTAAAGTAACCATACATACAGCTTTTTGAAATAATTTACTTAAAATAAATGTTTTTTATAAGAAAAATGATCCCTTATGCATTAATTATGAAGGAGACATTACATATGAAAATCAAGCAAGTGAAATATTGTGTAGACATTGCATAACACATCTAAACAGCTACTCACAAAGGCAATCATATATATATTATAAGTATACATAAAGTTACATTCACATAGTGCCATAGAATGAAATACAAAATGAATCACTGTTAATAATATATAGAAATAACCTAGTCTACACAGGAGAACCCAAGATAAGCATATTGGTGTTTTATGTCCTTGGCAAAACTTTCTGATACAGTTAAATCCCAATACAAACTCAATTTAAACCTCATCCTAATTAGAACTTAACCCACTCTTTATCCCAGCGCTTACATCACTCGAAAAAAAAGTAAACCACGAAAAATTTGAATTGAAATAAATCCCTTTAAAAACAATGTTCTCACACTCACCACGCCACTGCAAGTGCAACAAAAGCCCCACGTACATAAAGAGAAAAGGAATCATTTATTAATGTAATCCATGCAAAAGATGTACAGAGAAGGAAAAGTAGCATTCAGCAGAATATAGTTAATTTAGGTAACTCAGGTAAAGACTGCACTGAAGCAACGATTCTGCAGGACACTTTTAAGGGAGAGAGAAATTCCCTGTAGACAGCAACAAGACAAGATCGACAAGATCAAAAAATATTACAGAGAGAGTTTATATAGAGCTATTTCATAGCCTACTTTGTTTATTAGTTATTCAGTATAAAATATATGTATATAATGTACTATATTAATATTTTAAATATAAAAAACATTAAGGAACAGCTTGGTTGAGTGCATTTCTTTTCTTAAAGTAATGCAGAGCCATTCACCTATATTATTAAAGAAAATACAAGTATTGGATCAGGACTCAGTATCAGCAGATATTAAATGTGGCTCAGGGGCAAAAAAAACTGGATTGGGACAGTGAGTGGTCAAAAGACTATAAAGGCGCTATACAAGTACAGGTCCATTTACCATTTACCATTTACTAGTATTGGTATTGGCTGTAATAAATATACTAAAATCCTTGTATCCTGGTGTCGACAGCTCCTGGTTTTTGTTTTGTGTCTCAAGTTGGTTGTTTTGTGTTGTCAGGTTCTGGTTTTGTGTCGTCAGGTTCTGGTTTTGTGTCATCAGGTTCTGGTTTTGTGTCGTCAGGTTCTGGTTTTGTGTCATCAGGTTCTGGTTTTGTGTCGTCAGGTTCTGGTTTTGTGTCTCCAGCTCCTGGTTTTGTGTCTTCAAGTTCTGGTTTTCTGCAGTCAGCTTGGCGTTGTTTTCAGAAATGACTGAGGTAACTACAGTGACAGATAGAGGAAGGTGTTGGGCTTTAAGACTTTAAGACTTCAAATTCAGATTTACTTATATAACACAAAAACATGATAAAGAAAGGTTCACATGTTTCCAATCAATCTTAAAACAATAGTCAGGTGCCCCTATGAGCATTGAAACTGTGTTTAACTGATGTTTTTTTTTGCTGTCATCCTCTTTATTTTTGCAAATCAGAAATCTCTTCCTGATGCACCTCCACTGTAAGAGATGGGACACACAGTCCACAGTCCTCATTCTGTGCAACACAGATCCCAAACTTTACCTGAAGCTAATATGAAGTTTCAGTGCTCTAACTTTGTTAAGTCAACTGTTTCAAAATGTCCTCTTTCTGGGGCCTTAATAGCTCGCCTTGTAGAGCTTGTGCACCATGTGCCAAGGGTGAGTCCCTACTGCAGCGGCTCAGGGTTCGAGTCAGACCTGTGGCTTTTTGCTGCGTGTCCCCCCCCCCCCGTCACTCTTAAGCTGTCACTATCTCCTAGAGGGCAATAACAGCCAAAAAGAAAGTACTCCAACTTTGTAGTAAAACTACTGTAAGTTCAGATGATTCACATTTGATTTCTGTAAGTCAGACTGCTGAAGCCTCCTATTACCTTCAAATAAACATTGGAATACATGTTTGCACAGGGCCAGCATGAACAGGAGGAAGGATTACACCAAGCAAAAACTGTTACAGTGTACATATGGGCAGCTGACTATTGCTTTATTACAGACTTGATAAAATGTGAACCTGTCCTTTAAATGTGGACTAACAACAGCAAGTAAAGAAGAAAAAAAGCTTTAATTTGATATAAGATTGACATAGAAGGTACTCACAGTAAATATGAAGGGACATGATTACTAACAGTATCACCCAACACGCTGCCATTGGTAGAAAAGACTGAGTGAAGGAGAGAAACTTCTGACCTGAAAGAAAAATAAGAATTCAGTTAAAGCACGTCAACAACTTGATTAACAGTAGATGGCGCTTTGAATACATTTTACAATAAAGAAAAAGGAACTATTAATTATATTTAACATCATAACTGATCATATATTTTATGTTTAACAATATAACATGTGTGACAGTTACTGTGTTCTTAATGCACCTGATGTGGCTTCCTTTTTATCCACAGTGCGTACTGCTGCATTAAGATAGTCAGCTTCTTCCTCGATTTGCTCTGAAAGATATCCAGATCAAACACAAACGTCTCTATAACTGAATGTTATTTACAGACTGACTCCCACCATGTTGGGAAACCGTGATATAAAACATGGATTTTCTAATTATTAATGAAAACATCATTAAATCTTATTATTCCCAATGTGTTGAGCAGAGAGGAACAATCCTGATGCAAAAGATATAATTAGAAATGAAGGTGTTGTCAATCATCAGAAACATCAAATATTGCAAAAAAGAACAAATGTAGACAGAATACTGGCCAATAAAAAGATAGAGCAGACAAAGTGTTACATGCAGACACGTAAACATTAGAATGGTTTAAAATACCAGTTTCATCCTGTGGTTTTCTGTCCATCCTGAATAAAGATTTAAAATCTTGCTGCAGTCCTGTATGAAGGCTTTAAGGAAAGTCTCAGAGTGTAACTGGTGTGGGAACCTCTCTGGTCCACTGTGATGGTCTTTACTGTACTTCTGCTTTGAGGCTGTGACAGTGTTGTTTTTGCACCTTAGAAGCTAATAATGTGTTGCTGTGAAGAGAAGTCTAGTGGTTTTTGTTGCTGTTGGCACACTGTCTCTGGTGATACTCATGAGTCAGAAATGTACATACCATTGTTCTACTGGCCTAAAATACACACATGTTAATACACACATGTTTGCTTAATACAGTCTATTCATGGAAAGTTATGTTTTTATTTAATTTGTGCCCACCCAGCCTGAACCCTTTTACATGATGTAAAGCCAGTGGGGGTGTAAGGACTCCAGTACAATTGTGTCAGACTGTGGAGGCCTCATTGATCTCCACTGTGTGCCACACATGTCTCATGAACTGGGTCCTGTGTTTGTACCAGAGTGTGGGGTCCTTTTGTAGGTTTTCCCCTGCATGAACATATTCTAATAGATATTATAAAGATGCTGGTTGATATTATAAATAAATGTATAAATAGTTAAAACTGTTGATGAACTGTAGCTGCTGCTGATGCTGAATCTTCAGTCCTGTATGACATTTAGTTTGTGTGTGCTTGTGTGTTCTTACCAAAGCGTCATCATTAGCTTTGTTCAGTGAGACTGCAGACAGGGAAATGATTGTGTTTGGTCTGTCGGTTGTATCGTTTAGTCTAATTAATAAAAATGAGGATGGCAGCACAACAACAGGTGGTCAAGAAAAACAAGATATAAAATATGTCTTTCTGGTTTGTGATGTAGTGTTTGAGTATGTGTATTCATTGATTCAATAATTCAGTCATTATCAATTTAAACATTTATGAGTTGTGTTTCCTTCTGTTGTGCTCCAACAGTGTTTGACATATCATGAGAATGATATGATATGATATGATATGTATCACAAGCTATGATAAAATATTCACTACTGAACAGTCTCTGTGTTGAAAAAACAGAAAAGATAAAGTCTTCACAAATAAAACCATGAAATTCCTCCTTGTAAAACACACAATATGACACTTCCCTGATAACTGAGACTCACTGCACCGAGCTATGATGCTGTATTTGTGCTGATGTTGACTGTGTGTGTAACTGATGTGTGAGCTTCAGATGGACTGAACTGAGGCCAGATCTGCCTCTGTCTCATCCTGTTCAGGTTCAAACATGTTACAACATCCTGAATAATGTTATTCTTTAACACTTGATGAAATCTTACTGATATTTTCAATGAGCAATATGTTAAAAACAGACAATAACAAGAATGTGTGACAGTATTTTTATTTAATATAATGGACTGAAACAGGAATCTGCTTCTAGATAGATAAATAACACTTAACTGTCTCCTCTACATAATAATATTCTTTACATCAGAACACAAATGCTTAAGAAAACAGCTCTGGGATCACTCTGTTGAGAACAAGTGATGCAGCGCCCCCTGTTGGCCAATCAGCAGCAAGCATTTCAAATGTTACATGACAATAACAAATAAGAAACTTTGAGCACTTTTGTTGGTCTCTTTCATCAATCTGCTGATATACAAACTGTAAGAACTGCATCTCTAAGTAGAAGAAAAGCACATCAGAGTTATTAATGATTAACACTTAAATCCCCTTTAGGCCAGTTACTCTATTTTCTTCTGTATAACTCTACATATACATTAGATCTGTCTTTACCAGCAACAAACACCTAAAGTAACCATACATACAGTTTTTTAAAATAATTCACTTAAAAAATATTTTTTATAAGAAAAAATATCCTTTATGCATTAATTATGGAAGAAACATTTTATATGAAAATCAAGTAACTAAAATATTGTGTAGACATTGCATAACACATCTAAACAGCTACTCACTAAGGTAATCACATATATATTATAATTATACATAAAGTTACATTCACATAGTGACATGGAATGAAATACAATCGGTGTGAAATATACAAAAAGTACTGTCTACCCAGGAGAACTCAAGATAAGCACATTGGTGTTCTAAGCCCTTTGCAAAACCTTCAAATACAATTAAATCACAATTATAAATGTTTCCAAACTCCATTTAAACCTCATATGATCCTAATTATAACTTAACCCACTCTTTATCCCAGCCCTCACATCATTTAAAAAAATATATTTATAAACAAAACTTTAAATTGTGAAGTTTGGTATTTATAAACCAGTTGATATTATCTTACATGTAATCAATCTTTACAGAGGATCCAGTAACATTCTCAAGTTTGACTGCAGTGTTTAAACAGTTAAAGCTTTCTGTTCACAGATCCATTGATGTTTTTCACTACAGTTCACTGATCTCAGTCCTCTGTTCTGGACAAAAGTTGCACAGTGACCTTCAGTAGGAGGAGGTTGTGGTTTCCAGGATCTGAGGGAAGAACATGATGTTTAGATCAAGGCTGATAGATTTTATGATTCAAAATGTTTAGGAATGTGTCTCTTACTCTTCAGTCAGATCACTTCCATCGACCCACTTCCATTTCCCATCTTCAACTCTCAGTCCAATCCAGAAATGACCACTTTTTGTATACCAGTTACTGATATAATTCTGACACCAGAGAGACAGTTATCAGACATTTAAAGACTGGACTTAAATAAACACACTGTGGCCTACAGACTCACAGTGTGCTCAGACTAACAGAAAATATTCTGAATCTCATATAGACTGTCAAATACATTCCCACAGTTTTCTAATTACCTTCTCTTGTTCATCAGTTATAACAACCAAATCTGAACTCTTTCCTTTGCAGTCTTCTCGAGCTTCATCCCAGGGTTTCTGACCAGCAGACTCAGGGTTATTAAACGCATAGCAGCCAGACTTGAAGTTAACCCAGCCATTTTGACAAGGTACACACTGTCTTTCTGAACCTACAGAGACCAACCAATAAACAGCATTAGTGCATTCTGATATTATTGTTATTGGTTATTTTTGGAACTAATTAATGGGTTCTGAACATACCTCCACTTTTTAGGGGACAGTAGGCATTAATGCTCCACTGAGCTCGACTGACATTGAGCTCATTCTGCTTTGTCTCCATGTCTTGTATTAATTCTGTCAAGTTCTTCTTCTGCATCTCCAGCTCCTGGTTTTCTGCAGTCAGTATAGGATTTAGTCAGGTTGTTGTGGTCCCTCCTCAAGTTTTCATTTTCTGAGCTCAGATTGCGGTTGAGGTTTGTCAGGTTGTGATTGTCAGCCAGTAGAGACGTTTGGTTTTCTTTTAACTGGTTCAGCTCACCCTCATGATTTAATGTAGTGACTGCAAAACGAAAATAATAATGCAATTTTTTCCCCCTTCATTTGTTTTGTCATTTTCCACATTTGGAAGCTAATTCCTGTCTGCTCTCCTTCAGGTTTTCAGCTTTTAGAAGTTGTTGGCTCTCAATGTATTTCTTCAATGTACAAGATCAACAAATCCCATGAAAAGACTAAAACAAACGTGTTAATCTGAATCTCAGTACTTTCTAACTTCCTCTGTGACACTCAGAGCCCAATTGGTTCCTACTTAAGTCAACATTTAACGTTGTCTAAATCAGCTGGGCACTGTAGTTTTAAGTAAACATTACTCAAACAGGAGTGGACCGTGCATTTGTCTGGGATGTTTTTCTGGCAGCAGGATGGTGTGTGTGGGACTGAGTCAGAAGCTACAGTAGCCATGTTCTTTGTTCTAAAGGAACAGGTTCCGTAATATTACAAAAATTAGACACATACTATCACAGACAGATGCAGAAAAACTAATCCAAGCATTTGTTACTTCTAGGCTGGATTACTGCAATTGCTTATTATCAGGCTGCCCCAATAAGTCCATAAGGACGCTCCAATTAATTCAGAACGCTGCAGCACGAGTACTGACAGTAACTAGAAAAAGAGATCACATCTCTCCTGTACTAGCTTCTCTGCACTGGCTCCCTGTAAAATGTAGAATAGAATTTAAAATCCTCCTCCTCACCTATAAAGCTCTTCATGGTCAGGCCCCTTCATATCTGAAAGAGCTCATAGTACCCTATTACCCTTCTAGAACACTACGTTCTCTGAATGCTGGGCTACTTGTGGTTCCTATAGTCTCTAAAAGTAGAACAGGAGCCAGAGCCTTCAGTTACCAAGCTCCTCTCCTGTGGAACCAGCTTCCAGTTGTGGTTCGGGAGGCAGACACCCTCTCCACATTCAAGACTAGGCTTAAGACATTCCTCTTTGATAAAGCTTATAGTTAGGGCTGGATCAGGTGAGTCCTGAACCATCCCTTAGTTATGCTGCTATAGGCCTAGACTATCGGGGGATTTCCCATGGTGCACTGAGCTCCTCTCTTCCTTGCCCCCGTCACCAAGTGCTTGCTCATGGTGGTACTGTTGGGTCTCTGTAAATAATGTTATAAAAGGTGTTCGGTCTAGACCTGCTCTATTTGAAAAGTGTCCTGAGACAACTTCTGTTATGAATTGGTGCTATACAAATAAAAATGAATTGAAGCACAAGGTTGGCTCACTGATGTGTTTTTAATAGCTGACAGATAACATTGGAGCTCCAAGGATCAGTGCTGTGTTGGTTTGGGTCTGATCATGGGATATGTTCGCAATAACAAGAAATATATAATATCACTTAACTTATCCTTTAATGCCTTCCTGTTTCTACTAATTCTGTCACCAACCTTTCACTGCTGTTATGTGGCTTCAAATGAATTCACATATTCAATCGACTATATGATCGATAATAAAGGCTTTATTCTGAAGTCAAATTTAAGTGGGAAAAAAATGAAAATTAAATTTATATTTGTTAATTTTGGTTAAATAACCACAAAGCTATAAAACATGGGAATAAAGGTTATTAAGATAACATACAACAACAACACAACAACACAACAACATGCTTTACAGTGTGATTCAGTGGGCTTCTCCAAGAATAAATGGTTGCACATTGAAAATAGAAATCATGTAAATAAGAACCCGGTCTTATGAATCCTTTACTCTCTGCAGACATTTCTACATCAGATTTTGTTTCTAGAAATTAACTCTGTTCCTAAAAAATAAAAAAACA